TTTATCGTTTTGATAGCAGCCGGAGCTGTGCATGCGCAACTGCTGGGATATGTAAGAATTGACAATATAACTGAATAATGTACTGACTCCTCGTTACTCGACGCAGTTAAAAAAACTGAGGCCAACCTCCGTTGCCCTTCTATATTTCTATACACGTATTTTCAAATCTTCCTTAAAAAAATTAAAAATTGGCGTCTGTGCAACATTACATCACCTTAAGAGCACGACGAGAATTAAGTTGATGTCCTAGTCCAACATAAAAAATCTGTATATTCATTCCATTGTTGATATTGCGGTTTTCTTTCTCTAGCTAGACTCGCGTATCTTAAGTTTTTTGTTTATCATTAATTCTATATATTTTGTATTACATTTTAATTATTCATGCTTCTGATTTCAATAAGTAGCCGGACTTATGATTCCATTATATGAACATCCCCACCTGCATACCAGCCCACCCTCCTACATTGGACATTGCTACTTGTGTGACATTTTTGCTTTGATATCCTCGTAAAAAATACACCTAAACTCGCCATAAATATTATAAAAGGGGGAATTAATAATAATAATAATAATAATAATAATAATAATAATTATAATAATAATAATAAAGCATTTATCTAGGATAATTTCGTCTGCCGCTTTCAATGCAGGTCCTGCTACGGATTGGTATTTATTTATGTGTGCCCAAGCTCTTTTCATTAGTGAACGCGGAAATCATTAATTTATTAATCCCATTTTCATACACAGCAAGCTACTGGCCAAGCTTCTGCTAGAAAAAGAGATCAAAAGCAGTTTGGGGCAAACATTGGTACGTAAGGATGAACTTACTAAACCTAAGGAATTTTTCCTGTTTTTATACAGAAAGGGTTCAAAATGTCCATTGATTTAAAATAAAATTGAATAGGGAGGATTGCAAATTTCGTTTTGCAGCCACCTAGAATTCCGGAATATCTTTTGGTGCGTTCGAGATTTTAGAGTGCGTCTATCAGCCTCCGGCGTGTCTCTCCCGACATCGCTCATTCACTGATGGCATAATACAAGAAATTCCCCGCTACCGTCTACCCTATTGTCAATGCTGAAACACTAAGAAGTTCTCTGCTTTTTTCAAGGACCCAAGTTTATTCACTTGGCAACGAAGTCATCAACTCTCAATCCCTTTCCTCCTTTGAGAAAACACTAAAAGGGTCAAATTATAAAAGTTAACTCTGAAAACCGATCTTAAATCTTTTGTACCCTTGACTTTACGCCATCTTGTTTCAATTGACGTAAACAGCTATAGCCCGTAGTTCGAGGAGGCCAAACCTCTCATAAGCTCCTACAGTTTCTGTTAGGTCTCCTCGCCACTTCTTTTTCCTTCTTTAATTATCTTATACTATTTGTAATTTTAATTATTGTGCGGTAAATAAACCAATAAGCATTTCTTGCAGAATTGGGACCCTTTGAACTGGATGGGCAACAAGGCGTGGAGATGAGAGGCAATAAAATGGTTGTTAGTCAGACTGGGGTATATTATGTGTACGGACAAGTCCATTACATCCATCTTAACGCTAAAGGCCAACTCTACAACCGCTGCATTCTCTACGTGAACAACAAGCCTTTTCGGTATCTTCAGAAGGGTATGGATGGCCGGGCTGATATTGGCAATGTTTATTCAGGTGGGCTGATTCATCTACGATCAGGCGATACCATCAGTCTCAAGACCCAGCAACCATCAAGAATCAACTTGGACCCCAGGGTGACTTTCTTTGGCGCTTTCAGGGTTGGGTATAATTGTGAAGAATGCAGCGTTGTCGTTCCAGATGTTAAAAGTTATTACAATAAATACTCGGGCTAGGACAACGTAGGTCGGGTTTAAAGATGTAATACTTACTAGAAAACTGGATTGAACCGTTGAGAATATCACTGTAGACAAATTTACATGTTAGTCGAATAAACTGATGTTTTAAGTATATTATCGTATTTTAGTTATTTGCTATCTAATCGTTAGCAAGGGCTTAAGCTTAGCCGGCATGCGTTCATTCCTTTCTCGAGACAGTGCTATCCACCGTATAAATTACTATCCAATGCTTTTGGCCGGGGTATAGGGCAAACCAATTGTGGTGGTCAGTGTTAAACGAGTAGCAGGTGACGCGAAACGAGAAAGTGGATGCCTGCTAACTTCAGCAGAAAATAAGTAGTAAAGATAAGAAATAAGTATCAAACTAATACGCAGTGTTATCCTCTAACTTTATTGTTTTAAGTTTCATTGATCGTAAATATTTGGCAAACCCTGTGTCTCCTGTCTAAAAATGAGCATACTCCAAAATGGCTGCATGCTGCGCGAAAAAGGGAATAATTCTAAAACGATACAACAGTGCAAAGCCGAGCCAAGCCAAGAACACGGCTTGTCGGGCATCCCCATGCACGAAAACAGATACTAGTAAGTCCCTAGAGTTGGCCATTACGGGGGTGATGGAGGGAGCTTCTCACGGTACTTAAATGAATAGACTGATTTAGTGTTTAAGACCTCTAATTCTATTCAGAACACTCAAAAAGAGGCCTGTTAAAGACCACAGCCTATTAGCTTTAAAAAATTTGTCGAGATCAGTGATACCAAGAGATCAGTCAAATCTGAGATCAGTCGGTGATAAATAGAGGATCAGTCGTGATATATAGAAAACTTCATTGCACGCCCCCGTCCATTTGACCAAGGGCTTAATGAAAAATGTGCCAAATCTCGCCGCTTCCGTCGCCCAAATCTTACGACCGAAAATTCGTGGTTCAATACGCTCGATCAATGAGTGCAATAAAATAAAAGCACCTCTATCAGGGCCTGCACGAAGAAGGCCTAATGACTACTACTTTTCCTTTAATCCTATGCCTAAGTTTAGACCACTTATATACATCTCCTTTTCTATTTATACAAGATTTAGACATGCTAAGGACTTCTATGTCCGTCACATACTCTGGCCAGAAGTTGAAATCCGCCAGTTCACCAACAAATGATCGTTTTGAATCGAAGTTCTTTTCTCGTGTTTGTTCTTGGCCAATGAACAACTTTCCTCCCGGACGAATATTATAACCAACCTGAAAACCTATTTCATTATCCACTACCACTGACCCATCCTTGAAGATCGCCCATTGTCCTTCAGCGTTTTCCCAAGCTACACAAATGTGGTGCCAGTGGCCATCGTTGACTGAATTTACTACAATATTTCTGTTGGATGTGATGTAAATAAAGAAATTAAGTTAGGTCGTATCGAAGGGAAGAATAAATTTGAAAAATGAACACTGGAAGGATTTTCTTTGGAAAGAGATATTAATAATAGTATTAATAATCAGGGCTTGTATAGACAGCCTTTCAAGGAAATATTCTGAGTTTTCGTTGACATCGGCAGATGTGCACTGCAACAGCTTAAGGTCTCAGCCCAAATCTTTCATTTATCTGTAAACATGTTTCTAACAATGGTATGTAATAGCAATAATTGTGAACATTAAGTGCAAAGGACCGCAAACGAATATGCCGCAGAACGGAAGATCTAAAGAAGATCTGATCAGCAAAATATACCAAGTAGACACAATATATTGAATTCTGCAATGCTGATCGTACTACGTGAGAATTAAGTTTTCAAGACATCAGCACCACACCGTCATAGAACCCAAAACAGAGTGGGGTGGTAGCCGCCAACAGCTGTTTCGCCGTTATTGTGACTCGTCAGGATGGCGTAACAACAGACAGCACAGAAAATCTCTGCTGAGAAATCAAATAATGATAATAAAAGATAAAAATGCACTGTGTTTGAGTGTCAATGTATTTAGCACGAAAGCACTAATTGGGGACACCATATTTTACGTCTCCAACGGGAGACGGGACCGCCATTTTACGTGGTCATCCGAGCCACGCGAAGGTCTAGCCTGTTGCAGTGTAAAGGAAATATCTTCATGTCTCAGTTATTGAAAGACCCTGAGTATTGGTCCGGCCCCGGGAATCGAACCTGCGACCTACCGCTCTGCAGTTTTACACGCTCTACCGACTGAGCTAACAACGTCGCGGTTCAATACCGCTCACTCTGTTTTAAGCCCTAACATTGAACACTAACACCCACCAAATCACGCTGCCCATATCACGTGTCTCCGGAGGGCAAGAGTACAAGTGTTCAGTGGCCTGTTCCAGGCGTTCAGATGGTGGGGACGGCGCAAAGAAATGTGAGCAGAGAAAAAAAACAACCTCTTTTTGACCTTATTTTTTTTCTCGCTCTCTTCCTTCGCGCCGCACTCCACTATCCGAACGCCTGGAACAGGCTAACAAGTGTTGCGTTGATGTCTCGCAAAGAAAATGTATAGGATGGGCAAAACCAACCTAAAAATCATGGATAAAACCATGCAAAATGCACAGTAAATCGGATCTATTAATTTTTATAGATCAAAAGGTCTAGGGCCCCCAAGAAACAAAAAGTGAACATCAGTAATAATAATAATAATAATAATAATAATATAATAATATCGATAATAGCAATAACGATCATCATCATCATCATTTCTGCGTAGAATCATATGTTATGATCATGTTACCATGGTAGCAAAATTTCTGTTGTGGTGGTTTTACTACTCTCATTTTGTAAATCGGGCGGACGAAATGAGCCAGCAAATTACCGGGGAATATGTGTCTCATGCTGCCTGGGAAAATACATTGTTCTGTCTTGACAAACCAACGACTCCTCGAACACGTCGTGTCCTCAAATATACTTCACAAATCACAGATTAGCTTTTTACTAAATAACCGCACAGCAGACCATGTCTTTATACTTTCGAACCTTTATAGAAACAACATTAAGTGGGTTCATTATCACACGGAAAAGATTTATGCCTGTTTTGTGGATTTCAAAAAAGCTGTCGACTAGGCCTGGCATGTCGGCCTTCTGCATAAGCTGCTGCTGATTAAGAGCCTGTTTACATGGAGGTGGGGGACCCCAGGTAGGTGAGGTAACCCGCTTAGGTGGGATAACCCGCCTGCCCATTTAATCTCTCATATTAATTTGATCACGTTTACATGACAGGAGGGGTGACCTGCCACATGTTACCTCACCTACCTGGGGTCCCCCACCTCTATGTAAACAGGCCCTTAGATTGGTGGTTGTCTTTACAACTTCATTAAAAGCTTAATATATATTTCAACTCTACATAAAAATGCTCATTAAAAAAATTCCCAAGAGCAAACACGATCCTTCCATTATGTGAGAGATGTGCAGCGAGGTTCTATCTGAAGTCCACTGCTTTTTAATCTTTATATACAGGATGTTTCAAAAGTTCGTTCCGATTGTAAATTGTATTTTGCGCAAAGCATTTAATGCTTCTTTAGGCAAATGTGAACTGTTTCAGGCAAGACATTTATCTAAATAACCGTTCAGAGCAATTTCAAACTAAACTTTGAATAAATTCTATTTTTTTAAAATTTTTGTCTCAACTGTACACGTACGCGAGTTTTTTCCCGCCACACTTTTCCCGTCCATTTTGTAGGTTTTCTATTTTGGTATTTTTAACGTTTTCTTTTATTTCTCTACTCCTTCATGAAAATGAAGGTCTACAATGTTTGTGCTAGAGCTCAGGCTTCTATTTTTATGGTCTTCTGGCCATTCAGTCCAAAAACATTGCAAATTGTTGCAGAAGTCTGAACGATGACCGAACAAGTGGTCAAAAGTAAAGACCTTAGAAGACAAACCAAGGAGTGGATGGCTTTTTTTTCACAAACTGTGTGAGAAATATTATCGAAAAAGCTGTTAGTATATGCGTAATAATTCCACAAAACAGAAAGGTAAAAAAATTTCAACTTCACATTATCGATCAAAGTTTAGAGCACAACGGTATAGGGATAAGTTACCTGAAAAAGTTGGAAAGCATTGATGAGAAAAAGGCGGTGCACACTTCATGAAAGCATGGTGTCAGAAGGATTTGTCAACTTTATACCAAAGGAGGACCTGCCGGCAAACTCACGTGATTTGAACCCCCTAGAGACTATCTGGATTTTCGAGACGAGACAACATACAGAGATCCAGCCCCCAAAACACTGGACGAGCTAAGACAGTGACTACGCTTCGCCTGGAAGAGTGTGACTTTGGACACGCTTTGGGAGCTCGTACATTCTATACCTCACCGCTTAGAAAATGTCAGAAAACATACAAGAAGACATTCTGTTTACTAATATTTTAGTTATTTAATGTTAAATGAATAATGAATAACATACTAAGTTTTACAAAAGGTTTT